GCCTGCGGCGCTGCCCCCTGCCGGCCGCGCCGGGGCTCTGCAGCTCCCGGCGGCGCGCGGGAAGCGATCCCGATGCGGCAAAAATCGGGAGCGCCGGCACGCGGCGTGGCGCGACACAGAGCCCTGCGGGCCACGCCGTTGCACAGGCACCTTGCGGCCGCCACTGCCTTCCAACGGGGCGGGTTCTGCTATTCTGCTACTTTGCATTTTATACAGCTGTCAGTTCCATTGGATTGGCTGGTTACGCACTGTGTGAAAAAGCACCATTTGCCATCGATTTTCTGCCTTCTTTTCTCAAATTCTCTGACACAGAGTTTATGCCTTCATTTATGCCTTATCAATATCAATTACCTGCCCAGTGGTGCCTCAGCTGCACAACACCGTTTTAACTTCTCCGTTTGTGTTTACTCCACCTGTCTTTTCCTAGTTTTGCGTTTCCCCACGTGTCTCCGCCCTGGGCCGTTGCTACGCAGTAAGTGAAAATCACCACTGAAATGCTCAGAGGAGTCCAGTCACTTCCAGTGTCCGTAAAGAAAATACTTCTAATACTTGCACACAATACTCTTTTTCCTCTTCTGTTGTAATAACTTGGACCACTCATAGAGACCCACCATGAGAAATACTGTTACCCATTTCATCCATTATTTTCCCCTTTTATTGCAGTTTCAGACTGACCTGTCCATTTCTGGCTTTCATTTGATTAGGTTAGAAAAGGCCTGTCTGCACGCTTAAATTCCGGGATTACGGATGCACATTCTCAGCTGCCAAACCTGGTCACTTCCACCACCCGATAAAGCAAACTTACCCTCCCGGGTTACAACCTGTGATATCACTAGTTTTATTTCGAGCCTTGTTCCCTGGTTGTTGGTCCTGGGTTTCCTCTGCCAGGAAGGCACGTGCCAGGTCTCACCCCAGTGCCTGCAACCCTCTTTTTTAATCCTCACCCCTCTTGTCTGCCCCTTCCATTAATCCATTAACTCACGTCATGCAGCTCAAGCTGGTGGGTTCTCAAATTCCCGCAGTGAAACTGGGAAATGACCTTGTCCTTCATGGTGATTCTCCACTTACAGCGCAGTTTAGACCTGGGAATCTCAACTATTTATTCAATATCCCTTGTTCACCTCTCTTCTTGCTGTTAGCCCTGTGAATCATGGGCAGAACTAGCAGCTTTCACCCCTGACTAGGAAAAGCAGCTTTACCAGGGATGTTGCACTCTAAGTTATTTTTTGGCTTCAGATATCACTGCTTTCTAATTTTGTTTCTCTATATGGCACATATTTTAAGTTTAATTTGCTCCCATTAACCTCACTTGACCTTAGTTATTGATGTAACAAAACTGAATTGCTGTTATTCCAGAAATGTTAAAACAGTAGACATGGGGCAGCATCTTTGGAGCTCTCCATCTGAGCCTAAAACTGAAGAAATAAACAGTTCTAAAAACTGGTAATTTAAAATGCTTTGTATGGTGTCTTAAATAACTAAAAGAGTGTTTTATTACAAAACTAAATATATATCAGTTTAAGATGTTCCACTTAACTATATATCACGTTAGGCGTTCAAGATTTATTTTCCAGGAACTGATAGCTAGTTCTGTTCCTGCTCTGTTTCACCAGGCAGGTGTTCCTAATAAATCCAGCTTGGGGCCTTTTACAAATTGCTTACAGAAGGATCAAAGCTTCCCTCCCATCCGTGTGTGATACTGTCCAAAGAAAAAGTAAATACTGGGAAAGAATAACATTGCATTTCCTGGAAAATAGTGAAAATTTATTCAGTATGGATAAAGAAAACAAGAAACTCTCCCAATTATTTTATAAACATACATATAGGAATTTATACATATCTAGGAAGTTAAGAATCAATGAGCTTCATCACTATGGTACCATATATTTTTGTTATGTATTGTGTTAGATCTTCCTGGCAGAGCATTATAGAAATCTCTATTATTGCTGTGGCAGTAATAAGTCTTTTAAAAGCAAAGGCTAATTGCTTTTGCTGCATCTCATATTAACAGAGATGTTGTCTCCATCAATTCATAGGAACAATCTATTCTGCAAAGACGATTTGTCCTCCTCAGTCCTTGGATACCAGCCAGGTCCTCCCATGAGCTCCATCTGAGTCTCTGTAGCTCCCAATAACTCGCTCAGCTCCTTGACTACATTAACTATAGAGCAGTACACTATTATATAATGTAATTGTATAGTAATGGGCACGTTGCTGCCTGTCATGGAATCACGTAGTACTTGAGGTTGGAAGGGACCTCTAGAGACCATCAGGCCCAAGCCGTAGCCCAAGAACTCCATGCTGGAGTTCTTCCACTACAATGTTAATTTCAGAACAGTACTATTTGAGAATGAGGACAAAGAGCAGGACCTTTTCTCTGAAGTACTTGGTGCTACCACATACAGCTTCTTCCCCAAGATCTTGGGCCCAGCAGCTGTGGGATGGTCTTTACCTCCTCCATGTCTTCCACGCTCCCTTGGGACATGCAGCATCATGAGCTTGAGAGGCCTTGTTGGGCTGGAGGTCTGGCAGCGATGCAGGCAACGTCACCCAAATCCCTGAGGATTCAGTGGGAAATGGCATGGCCTCTACGGGGACTCCCAGCTTCTGCTATGAGCCTCTTTTTCTCTAAGCAGGACTCAAACATTTATTTTTCCCAGATGGTGCCATTGCAGACACCTCTTATTTATTTATGTATTTATGTATTTATGTATTTATGTATTTATGTATTTATGTATTTATGTATCTATGTATCTATTTATCTATTTATTTATTTATTAGTTATCAAATCCTAATAACACCAGTATGGATGATGTAATTTAGTTCTGTAAATTGAGTCACTTTACTCTGAATAAAGAGTATCTAAAAAGACCTTACCTTATTGTGAGAGCAAAATAATTCACTTCAAAATCACTTAATTCTTGGATTTCCTAACCCTTTTTCATGATTACATGAAGCACTTAAGCTACACTTCATTCTTTGTTAAATAAACAGAACAATGGTCTTGTTAAAATAAAACATCATATTACTTTCTTTTTTTTTCCTTGGGAGCTCTTTTTCCTTCCAGATGCCTGCTCAGAACATATTAAAATATACTGCTTACTGCTTATTATATACATACCTTACTGTTTATTATATACATATAATATATATGTATGTATATGTATATCAAAACATACTTATTACACTTACACTTACTTATGAAAATATAGGATATTTCTGAAAATATAGGATATTTCTGAAAATTTATAGACTGGAAGATGTGTCCTATGAGGAGAGGCCAAGAAAGCTGAGCCTGTTGAGCCTACAGAGAAGACTGAGAAGGATCTTATCATTGTGACACCCGAAGCGAGGGTGTCGCGGGGATGGACCAGGCTCTTGTCAGTGGTGGCCAGTGACAGGACAAGAGGCAACGGGCACAGACTGAACCTGGGGAAGTTCTGCCTCAATCTGAGCAAAATCCCCTTGGCTGGAGATGTTCAGAACCCCCTGGACACGATGCTGTGCAGGTCTCTTGAGGTGACTCTGCTTGGGCAGGGCCTGCACTACATGGTCTTCAGAGGCCCCTTCCCACCTCAACTGCTCTGTGATTCTCTGATTACGAGCAAATAGTCGCATGTTCCACAGCAACAGTCACTAACACGTCACAATTTAATCCTAAATTAATTCTGTATGAATCAAAAGTCTTCAGTACCTCCTTCCTCTGGGTTATCATTGGGTTATGGTTGGGAAGACGGACTCCTCCTGGCTAGGATTTTCAGGCACTTCACCATTTGCCTAGAAGCACAACCAGAAAACCAAGCTAATGTGAAATAACAGAATATGATTTTTAAATGCAACAGATATTCTTCCAATAACTTCCATGTGAACACTTATTTCAGAATTAAGATTCTGCAGCTTACCTAAGGTTTCTTTGCCAGACATTGCATTTATTAGTGTGAAACAAGATTATCCAGATTGGATTCTAGTTTGGAATACCCATTTTGAGTCATTACCCTCCTATGAATACAGCTAGAACCTTCCCTAAAAGACAAAACTAAAAAACTGAGACCAATACTTACTGATATAAGGAGGTGAATATTTAAAAAGAGGCCTAGCACTGATGTACATTGAAACCACCATAAATCTAAATCTGACTATGCTGGAGGTGTCTGAATAGGGAAGGAGATCCAAGCATGTTATTACTGTTTAACAAACCATATATATTGGGTTTTCTGTAGTTTTGCTCAACTAAGGTACTTCATTAAAAAAACAAAAAACAGGGTGAGTGGGACCCCCATCACCTTTCACTGATGGAAATGAAGAGCCCAGAGCCAGGAAACATTTATGTTATAGGAAACCCCATTGCACGGGATGCTTTTGCACAACCTCAGCTTTTGATTAGGATCTGAGGTAGATAGCAAAGGTGTACAGAGCAACTGCAGAGCATCACTTGCTGAGATGGCATTTAAATGTTAAGAAAGCACAAAAAGAAAACTCGATGTCAAAAAAAAAAAGTATTTTTCTAAAAAGGGCATTTTTCTGTTCAAAATAGTACTGCAGTGCCTGGTGAGGTGTAGTTTTGTTCTGTGCTCCCTCTGTCGCTAGGGGTCAGCGCATATCCTTCCTCCTACCCACAGAAGCAGGAAAACGGGTTAAGAAAATCCATGCTGTCTGCCACATCGTGAATGACCTGGTCTGCTCAGGAAGCCTTGCAAGAATTTAATAGAAGTTT